AAATTGATCAAACATGCAATCAAGATGCATTGATCATTACTGGTGATTGGAATGTAAATGTTGGGAACAAAGAGGAAGGATCAGTAGTTGGAAAATATGGTCTTGGTGAATGAAATGATGCCAGAGATTGCATGATAGAACTCTACAAAATAATGATTTGTTCATTTCAAATACCTTTTTTAGACAGCATAAGAGACAGTTATATACATGGACCTCACCAGATGGAATACACAGAAATCAAATTGACTACATCTGTGGAAAGAAACCATCAAAAAGCTCTATGTCAGTCAAAAACAAGGCCAGGGCAGATTGTGGAACAGACCCATCAACTGCTCATATGCAAATTCAAACTGAAGCTGAAGAAAATGAAAACAAGTCCATGAGAGCCAAAATGTGACCTTGAATATGTGTGTGTGTTAAGTGCCGTCTAGTCGGTGGGAACCTATAGCGACCCTGAACAGGGTTTCTGAAGCTGTAAATCTTTATAGGAGCAGAAAGTCTCTTTCTTCCGCAGAACAGATGGTAGTTTCAAACTGCTGACCTTTCAGTTCGCAGCCCTTTTCGTAACTACTACGCTACCAGAGCTCCTTGACCTTGAATATATCACACCTAAATTTAGAGATCAACTGAAGAACAGATTTGATACATTAAAGAATACACAGCAGGTAGTTTAAGGAGCCCTGGTGGTACTGTGGATTAGGCGTTAGGCTGTTACTGCAGGATCAGCTGTTCAAACCCACCAGCCGCTCCTTGGAGAAAAACGAGGCTTTCTACTCCTGCCAAGATTTGCTGTCGTTTTTCACATGTATAATTCAATACAATTAATTACATTCACTATATTGTGCAGCCGTTGCTACCCTGTATTATTTTTGTGTCACTTTGTAAGCCTTTAACTTTAGGGTTCATTTCTGTTTCTTTTTTTTCACCAGTGGTAGGCAGAGCATTTAGTTTACCTTGGGCAGGACACCTAAAAGGAATTTTACATAGATTTTGACCCTTGTATCCTATTAATCTGCTTGAATTTTTTAGGAGCAACCTAGATATTAATTGAATTATTTTAGTTACTATTTTGTTATGTAGTTTATTTTTCTATATTTTATTTCATCTAGGTCTGTGAAATGAAAAACTGCAATAAATGTATCTATTTTGAGGCCAAGAAAAAACAGGATTTATATATGTGGTAAGAGATTGTAAAAAGATTTGGGTGGAATTTTTTTGCTTGTGTTGATTTATTCTCTGAGCCTTTCATGTTATAGACTCCTTTGAGTTGTGTGTGTTTGTGTGTATATATATGTGTATGTGTGTTTATATGAAGGAGCTCTGGTAGTGTAGTGGTTATGAGTCAGGCTGCCAATCTCAAGGTCAACAGTTTGAAACTACCAGCTGTTCTGTGGGAGAAAGATGAGGCTCTCTGCTTCTGTAAAGATTTACCACCTCAGAAACCCTGTGCAGGGTCATTATGAGTCGGAACCGACTCCCCAGTGCTTAACAACAACAATATATGTATGAGTCCTGGTGTGCCACTGTGGATTAATATGCAAAGCCATTTGAACCTCACAGTCAGCAGTTCAAGATCACCAGCTGCTCCTCAGAAACACTACACAAGGTCACTATGGGTCAGAACTGACTCAACGTAACTTGAGAACAACAAAATATGCCTGTGTATAAAGGAGAGTCCTAGTGTGGTACTGCAGGGTAATGTACTGGAATGCAAGGTTGATGGTTCAAACCCACCAACTGCTCCTCAGAAATGGCTGTTAACCTCAAGGTAAGCAGATCAAAACTACCAGCTGTTCCGTGGGACAAAGATGAAGCATTCTGCTCCTGTAAAGATTTACAGCCTGGGAAAACCCTGTACAGGATCACTATGAGTCAGAACCGACTCAGCGGTACTTAGTAGAAACAAACAACAACTAATGTAAAGGGGGAGAGAGATAGGAAGCAAACTCATTTGATTGCATAAAACTTGAAGCCTTCAAAGAAGGTTAAGTATTTGAATATTCTAAGCATGTATGGTTCTTATTTATAAATAAATTTTGTTGTGTCGTTAAATAGTAAACAGCTAATACATTATTAATTCCAATTTTGAAAATTTTACCTTTGTATTTTTTAGGTTTTCAAATTCACCTCATGGGCCATCTGCTAAATTCCTTGTTCAAAATAGTAAGTCGATTCATTGTTAGATTTTTTTATGAGAAAATTACAAAACTATCTTTTGGATTACTTGTTCCAAAGTTACAACTATTTGTTATAATTTTTTTTCCTAGTTCATACTCTAGCTGAACTAAAGATGACTGGAAACTGTTTGAAAGGTTCTCGGCCCCTTTTGTCTTTTGACCCTGTAAGTTTCTTATTCAGTTTTTTTCTCTCTTTGTGCTATTGTTTCTTTTTTAGTGAACATAGTCGTGTAGTTGAATTTGGTTAATATTAAACACACACAGTATCTTTGAACAATGTTCTCTACAATTGTCCAGCGATATCTTTGCTTTATTTTTATAGGTGTTTGATGAACTGCCACATTATGCTTTGTTAAAAGAACTTTTAATTCAGGTAAATACCTTTCTTAAAGAGTTTTAGTAATAAAATATAAATGAGGGCTTTCTTTGGATTTTGTTAGTTTAGCTGTCTGAAATTTACATATGTAAATTGTATGTCTTAGAATTAAACTAACGTACAGTTGTTTTTCTTCACTAGATCTTTTGTACACCACGGTATCATCCCAAAAGTCAGCCATTTGTGGATCATGTGTTTACTTTCACCATTTTGGATAATAGGATATGGTTTCGGAACTTTCAGGTTAATTTTATTTAATTTTTAGTTAGTGTTTTAAATAAATTGTGATATTCAGGATTTGCAGGCACAAAATGCAAATAATAAATTGTTTTTTTCGATAGCATTATTTTCCCCATAAATCCTTGTTCCAAAACTCTATTATTAAGTGATTTCTTCTTGTTTCTTTTCATTGCTGATCTCTTGATGGCTTCCAAAAAGGCACTATATTAAATTTATAAAAGAAAAGGAAAATATTCTGAAGATTCAAACATTTGAATCTTCCAAATGTGTGTCAAGTGTTGTAAATGATACAGTAAAGTTTTAAGTTTGTCTCACAAGTGGTTAGACTTCACCTGTGGAATTAAGATTTCCAAAACTCCTTTGGAAGGCATTCAGTCAGTCTATTAAATGAGTTATCCAGTGACTCATGTAGGGAAGATAATTCTAGAACTCATCAAGCAGGAGATTTTGGAGACAGGTTGAAGAGAACAGCAAGAACAAAATATTTAGCAGCCACTATTAACACTGGATGGAGTCCTGGTATGGCGCTGTAGGTTAATGCGCCAGACTGCAAAGCCGTTTGAACTGCAAGGTCAGCAGTTGAAGCTCACCAGCCACTCCTCGGAAACCCTATACAGGGTCACTGTGGGTTGGAACCTACTCGATGGCACTTAACATTACATTAGATACTTATATGGTGAATTAAATATGCCCTTTTCTTAGGCTTTCGAGGGCTCTCAAAGGAGTCTATAACATGAAGGGTTCATGTTATAGGGTGGAAATTGGGGTCCATCTAACGGTGACTCAGAAGAAAGTTTCTTACAATCTGCTTCTTAAAGCTCCGCCTTTTAGCTGAGGTTTAGCATTTGTAACAAATTCATTTTGACTCCATTTTAAAAGAACATGTTGAGCAAATGTGTATTTTACTATAACAGTTATGATGCTGTGGGCTAATGTGCTGGACTGCAAGGTTGGTTTGGACTGCAAGGTCAGTGGTTCAAGCTTACCAGCAGCTCACCAGCTGCTCCTTAGAAACCTTATAAAGGGTTTCTATGAGTCGAAATCAACTCGACAGCACTTGACAACAACAAAACACATTTCAGAAAATACTGATGATTTACCACTTGCCATTTTCATCCCTAGCTTAATTAATTTTATATTGATTATTAACTCAAACACATTTGTAATGAGGTTATAAATAGTGTACCTTTAAGGAGTAGTATATCTTCAACCAAAATGAAATGTTTCCTTTTTATTGAAGATTATAGAGGAAGACGCTGCACTTGTAGAAATAGGACCTCGTTTTGTCTTAAATCTTATAAAGATATTCCAGGGAAGTTTTGGAGGACCAACTTTATATGAAAATCCTCACTACCAGTCACCAAATATGGTAAGCTATTTGCTTTTCAGTGGTCTTCTGTATTATCAGAAATCTCTCTGGCCAAAATAATTTTGTAAAGTAACTTTCCTGTCAACTGAAATGGAATTCAGGAGTTTGGTTTTGGCTGCATTATAGTCTTGTAGATTATTGCTTTTTAAAATGATACAGGGTGGAGGATGATGAGGCTCGTAAGTGAATGCCTTTGCCTTACATAAAAAGCTTATTATTCTTTCAAAAGCATCTGACAGTCTTCTTTTCCTAGCATCGCCGTATCATGAGATCCATCTCAGCTGCAAAATACAAAGAGAAACAGCAAGTGAAAGATGTGCAGAAGCTGAGAAAGAAAGAACCAAAGACTATTCTACCACATGATCCCACTGCAGATGTTTTTGTTATACCAGCTGTAGAAAAACCAATAGAAATTGAGTGGGTGAAACCAGAGCCAAAAGTGGATTTGAAAGCAAGAAAGAAAAGGGTATATAAAAGGCAAAGAAAAATGCAACAGAAGATAAACAGCGGGAAGGCAAAATGAATGAATGGATAGCCATGTATTTAACTTGTATCCAGTATGTAAATATTTTTATTATCCAGGATTTTCTAATTAGTGTGTCATTTAAAAAGAAAAAAAAATTAAATGTTGAGAATTTTTTAAATGGATTTAGTGATGTCTACATGTTTCTAAGTAAAACATCATCAGAACGTATCATTTTTCTGTATTTCTTGCAAGGTTATTTTGGCATTAAGTCTTTAGTTAGTGCTTTTAAGTTTTAGGCCTATATTTGAAATTAAAATTTGTGGTTTTATCCCTAATTTAGATTCTGAAATTAGACATATTTATTAGGACCAACTCTATAGCACTTAATAACAACAACAGATGATTGTATAACAACTGGCTACTTTGAAGAACCATATGTGGATGATTAAGTACGGTTTAACTGTATGTAGAATGGAAAGCATCTTACTGAAATTTCTGTCTCTGAGTCACCAGTCTGTGATGCCAACCTCTGACCTTATTTCTTAGTTCAAAAATATACAAGAATTTTGGATCAAATTAGTTTATGTAAGTTGAAAGCATTTTACAAGTTACAAATTTATTTCTTAAAGCTGTGTCTATAAATGGAAAGGTTCCCGGGTGGGTACTCATTTTGTGTTCCACTAAAATACAGAAGGAGTCCTGGTGTGTCACTGTGGACTAATGTGTCAGACTGCGAAGTCCTTGCCAACTGCAAGGTCGGTGGTTCAACCCACCAGCTGCTCCTTGGAAACCCTATACAGGGTCGTTAATGGGTCGGAATCAACTGGACTGCACTCAGTAATAACCAGAAGGGTGGTTCCATTAATAACCCACTCAGTGGCACCACTGTGAGCTGCTTCCATAACAATACAACTATCATTCCAGGAGCTCAGGAAGCTCACTCCAATAGGTGGTCAACATGGACATGAATTGGAATGGACATGGAGGACAAGGGGCTTGGTTTTTGGGTAGAGATTCATTATTTGAAGCAAAGGGAGCTCAGGGCTTTAGACATTTGAGACAGATTAATTACCAGGAAATAGCGAGATTCTGGTTGTTGGCGGCCGTGGAGGTAGTGTCTGCTGCTGTTCCGTTGCCCTGTTGAGTCGATTCTGACTGATAGCGACCCTGTATGGGGTTTTTAAAGAGTGGCTGGTGGGTTTGAACTGCTTACTTGTGGTTCAAACTGACCTTGTGGTCCAGTGCTTATCCTACAGCACCACAACAGGACTCCGTGTATAATATAAAAGTGCCCTCGAGTCGGTTCTGACTCACAGTAACTCTGTATAGAGTTTCCAAGGAGCAGCTGGTGAGCTTGAACCGCTGACCTTGAAGTCCAGCGCATGAACTCACAGCGCCACACCAGGCGTCAGTATAATATGTATGTACTACAGAACCACCATGCTTCCCTGTACATATTTACAGCCTTAAAAATTCAAGCCTCGATAGTTTGAAATTTGGTATACCTGGTGTGGAATTGTGGGGTTTCTTTTTTTTTTTTACTTCACATTGCTCATTTTCCCTCTTGTTCACTCAGTACTGTAGACTGTTTAATCAAATAGATCGCTGTTGGATATATACTGTATTGTTTTTCTTTGCTGGTAGAGGTGTTTTCAGTGACTGTTTCTATTGATAAATCTTTGTGTAAAGCATTTATGGTTTCCTAGAAGTGAAACTCTCAGTCAAGGGTTATGAACGTAAGACTTTATGATTACTTTCTAAAAGGTAGTGTCGTCCAGGGTTTTGAGTGTTCATGTCTTAGCGCCAGTGTTGAAATGTCTTTGACTTTGATAGCTTAAAATTTTTTTCTGATTATTAGTAAGAGTGAATATACAATGTTGTCACATGTATATTGTGACTTGACTAATGTTGGTTTTTTTTATGGTAGGATTACTTTTTACTGATTTATAAGGAGCCCTGGTATGGCGCCTTATGATAAGCATTGGGCTGCTAACTGCAAGGTCTGCAGTTTAATCCTACCAGCCGCTCTTTGGAAACGCTATACAAGGTTGCTGTGAGTAGAACCAACTCGATGGCACTCTAACAAGAACAAGCACTTTTATATATAGTAGGTTTATTAACTAGACATATTCCCCAGTTAATTTACATTTAAAAATTATCTATTATTTTAAATCTTACGTTTTCTCCCTAACTAAAGTTATACAAAGAAAGACCTTGCCACATTTATGTCAAATTGAGATATTTATCTTGTAATGATCTAAATTAGATGACTTATCTTGACATCTTGAAGAAGTCTGAATTTTTCAGCTAGTTCAGGTCAAGGTTTCCCTTGAAATGCTTGTATGTGGCTAATTGAGGTAAATTTGGATGAGTGCCAGAACAAAATGGCCATTATTTCGCTTAGGTAGGCAAGTGAATATAGCTTTGAACAACTGTCTTCAGGATTTATTTTTAAACTTCCATATTTGGAAGAAGTTAATTATAGGTATAAACACAAATTTGTGAGTTTATGTTTCTCACCTATAATTACAGGTTGTGAGTTTGAATAAAGACAAACTTCATACTTCTTGATGGGTATATTTTAGATTTGGGGTGGCATTTCCAACTTAACAAATTTGGATGATCAGTTTTCTTAAAGAGTTATTTTCCTGTTCCAAATCACTTCTCCTTCAGTCATCTATATGAATTCCTCATTATAATATAGCGGCCTCTGGAATGAATCATTCTGCCTGTCTTTGGGAGTCTAGCTGTCAACCTGTCTCATAGCCAGTGTGATTATGTCTGAATTTCATACAATGTTATAGGCAATAGCAGATGCCTCTGCTCTTCCCTAAGGAGTTAAAAAGTCAAGTGACTCCCAGGGCTGGAAAGTAAAACCACATCTAATCAGAAGAAGAAAAATGTCATTTTTCTCATTTGGTTCTTCCCAAAGACCCATCCCCATCCTCACACTTGTATACAAAGTAGAGGGATGGCTGGGTCATAAGGAATTTCTATTCCCAACTTTCATTATCAACTTATGGTTACGAATTGGCCTGTGAACCACAAGATCAGCAGTTTGAAACTACCAGCTGCTCCACGGGCTTTCTGCTCCCTTAAAGATTTACAGATTCGGAAACCACCCTGTACAGGGTCGCAATGAGTCGGAATTCACTCCACGGCACAGAACCACCAGCCAGTCATATAGAATCTTCCTCATTTGAAAAAAAGGCAAATGTAGAAATTTTGAGCAGTGAGTTAGATGGACATTGAAGTGTGGAGAAACCAGATGAGGCTTTACAGTTGGTTTGTTTTGATGGTCCAGGTGATGGTATTAGAGAAGAAAGGGATAGTCTTCCTAAACTTTAGGTACCCAAACCCTGCACAATGGAGGTTAACAACAGAAGTAAACCTCTCTAACTATATAGGGCTTACAAATATAACCCACTCTAAACACTGAAGTCTGGAGTCTTGGTGTGGCACTGTGGGCTAATGTGTCAAACTGCAAAGTTGTTTGAACTGCAAGGTTGGTGGTTCAAGCTCCCCAACTGCTCCTTGAAACCCTATATGGGGTCGCTATGGGTCGGAATCTATGCAAAGTCATTTAACAACAACACTGATGTCTGTAAATGTTCTCTTCAGATTATAGTGGAATAGATTGACATGTTAATGCATCTTAATGACATTAAGATATTACTTGGGACCATCACCAGCGATGGATGCTAAAAACAGCAACTAGAAAACAACAAATGCTGGCAAGGGTGTGGAGAGACTGGGATCCTCATATATTGCTGTGGGACCGTAAAATGGTTCAACCACTCTGGAAAACGGTATGGCGTTTCCTCAAAGTTGGGAATAGAAATTCCTTATGACCCAGCTATCCCTTTACTTGATGTATATCCACAAGAAATACGAGCCAGGACACCAGTAGATATATGCACACCACTGTTCATCACAGCACTGTTTATAGTAGCAAAATGATGGAGACAACCTGAGTGCTCACCAATGGAAGAATGGATAAACAATTTGATACACACAATGGAATGCTCTGCAACCTTGAAGGAGAATAACCTCAAAACATGGATGAACCTAGATGATATTATACTGAATAGGTAATGGAGGAATAGTGGGGTATATGTTTATGTATTCCACAAATATGTAAGAGTTTGAAAGAGGAGAGGATATTTGTACCTGAGTATTTTATTCCATGCAAGCAAACTATGAATGTGTTCATACAACAAACAAAATGATAAAAACTTCCTAGATCTTATCAAACATCTTAAGGCAATGAGTTGATGGTCTTGGGGGCTCAGTACCATAGTCTCAGGAGACACCTTGGTCGATTGGCATAACATAATCCACAAAGACAATGTTGTAATTCCTGCTTGGGTGAATAGCGTCTGGAATCTTGAAAGCTCATGAGTAGCCACCCAAGGTGCAGCTATTAGTTTCTCCATGTGAGGAAGAAAGAGTCATAAGAATTGAAGAGGCTTGGAATCAATTAGTCCAATGGACTAATGGAGCATGTGAACATCACTTTCCACGATTCTCAGACCAGAAGAGCTAGACGGTACCCAACTGCTTTGAAAGGGATAACATAAGAGGGTCTTGGATAGAAAATGTTGAGCAAAGCCCAAAACTAGTAATAATAAAGACCAGACTTACTGGTCCGAAAGAGACTGGAGGAACCTGAGACTGTGGCCCTTGACTACCCTTCAGGTCTGGAAAGGAACTCACCCTCCTGGCCCAATTTTTAGCTCATAGTGACTCTGCACCAAGGAGCAGCTGGTGAGTTTGAACTGCTGACCTCTTGGTTCTAACCAACCTTGTAGTCCAGTGCATTATCCTGCAGTGTCACACCAGGACTCTGTAGCCAAGCAGTGGTGGTGGTGATTATGTGCAGTGGAGTTGGTTCTGACTCAGGGACCCTGTACAGGGTTTCCGAAGCTGTAAATCTTTATGGGAGCAGAAAGCCTCATCTTTCTCCCGCAGAGCAGCTGGTAGTTTCGAACTGCTGATCCTGAGGTTAGTAGCCCAATTCGTAACCACTAGTGGCGCTGTGGGTAAATGCGCTAGACTGCAAAGTCAGTTTGAACTGCACAGTTGGTGGTTCAAGCTCACCAGTCGTTCCTTGGAAACCCTCTAGATGGTTGCTTATGGGTCAGAACCAACTTGACACACTTAACAACAATGCTACCAGAGCAATATATACTCCATATAATGATCAATCATTCAAACTCAAAGGGCAACAACAT